CCTCGAGGTGAGGCCTCACCAGTGCTGAGTACAGGGGGACCATCACCTCTCGGGCCCTACTCCCCACGCTGTTCCTGACACAGGCCAGGATGCTGGTGGCCTTCTTGGCCACCTGGGCACACTGCTGGCTCATCTTCAGCCCACAGGTGACCAACACCCCCAGGTCCTTTTCCTCCAGGCAGCTCCAGCCACTCTGCCCCCAAGCCTGGAGAGTCCATGGGGTTGTTGTGACCAAAGTGCAGGACCCAACACTTGGCCTTGTTGAACCTCATCCCGTTGGTCTCGGTCCATGGATCCAGCCTGTGGAGATCCCTCTGCAGAGCCTCTCTACCCTCCAGCAGATCAACACTGCCACCCAGCTTGGTGTCATCTGTGAACTTCCTGAGGGTGCACTCGATCCCCTCGTCCAGATCATTGATCAAGATGTTAAAGAGAACTGGCCCCAGTACCCAGCCCTGGGGGACACCACTCGTGACTGGCCGCCAGCTGGATTTAACTCCATTCCCCACCACTCTCTGGGTCCGTCCCTCCAGCCAGTTTTTAACCCAGCAGAGGGTATAAGAAGCTGATATGGAGGAAGACCCCCCCCCCTCCTCTCTGGGCTTTTCAGCCCCCCCCTTACAGCTGGCGTCGCCCTCTTGGCCGAGGATTTTCCTGTAGCCGCCGTGCGAGAGGATGCGGACGAGCGTCTGGGCCGTGTAACACACCATGTCCTGTGGGGACAAGGGGACAGTCAGGATATGAAGGGGACAAGGGGACAGTCAGGACACAAAGGGGTCCTGGGCCCCCTCTTTTCCACCCCCCCAGCGTGGCAGAGGAGGCAGCTCACCTGCTGTTCCAGAGTCATCACCGTGTGGACTCGGAAATTGCCGCTCTCGCAGGGATCGGTGATCCCAACAGATCCGGGGAGGAAAAGCCCCGCCGCCAGGATTTGAAGACAACGCCTGGAAGAAGGAGATGTTTTGGGTTCAAACTAGACCACTCCAACACAGAAATGCAGCCAGAAAGTTTGGAATTTGGACAGCTGTGTGAGGCATCGGGCTTTGTTTCCAGTTCAAGCCCTGAAACGCCACCGCTTTTCATAGAATCATTGAGGTTGGAAGAGACCCTTGGGATCATCGAGTCCAACCATCTCCCCTACTCTACAAAGTCCTCCCCTACACCATGTCCCTCAGCACTGCATCTAAATGGCCCTTAAACACAGCCAGGGATGGGGACTCCACCCCCTCCCTGGGCAGCCTGTTCCAACGCCCGACCACTCTTTGGGTGAAAAATTTAAGTCTGATGAGGAGAGGCTGAGGGAGCTGGGGGTGTTCAGCCTGGAGAAGAGGAGGCTGAGGGGAGACCTTCTTGCTCTCTCCAACTCCCTGAAAGGAGGGTGTAGAGAGGTGGGGGTCGGTCTCTTTTCTCAAGTCACAGGCGACAGGACGAGAGGAAATGGCCTCAAGTTGCCCCAGGGGAGGTTCAGGCTGGATATTAGGAAAAATTTTTTCCCTGAAAGGGTTCTCAGCCCTTGGAATGGGCTGCCCAGGGAGGGGGTTGAGGCCCCATCCCTGGAGGTGTTCAAAAGCCGGGTTGATGTGGTGCTGGGAGGGATGGTTTAGTGATGATGCTCCTTGTTTGTTGTGGGGGTGTCTATTTTTGTCAGTTCGGTTGATGGTTGGACAAGATGATCTTTAAGGTCCCTTCCAACCTAGAAGATTCTGTGATTCCTTCCTAATGTTCAATCTAAACCTCCCCTGTTGGAGCTTGAAGCCGTTCCCTCTCGTTCTGTCACTAATTACCTGCGAGAAGAGACCAGCACCAACCTCTCTACAGTGTCCTTTCAAGTAGTTGTAGAGAGTGATGAGGTCTCCCCTCAGCCTCCTCTTCCTCACACTAAACAGCCCCAGCTCCTTCATATGATTTGTCTTCTAGGCCCTTCCCCACCTTCGTTGCCCTCCTCTGCACTCGCTCCAGCACCTCCAGATCTCTCTTGGATTGAGGTGCCCAAAACTGGACACAACACTCGAGGTGTGGCCTCCCCAGTGCTGAGTCCAGGGGCACAATCACCTCCCTACTTCTGCTGGTCACACTATTTTTGATACAAGCCAGGATGCCGTTGGCTTTCTTGGCCACCTGGGCACTTTTTGGGTTCAAACTAGACCGTTCCAGCACAGAAATGCAGCCAGAAAGTTTGGAATTTGGACAGCTGTGTGAGGAATCGGGCTTTGTTTCCAGTTCAAGCCCCAACATGCCACTGCTTTTAATTTGTTACATTCATAAATCAAGACATTAAAAGGAATTTACAGGAGAAAAGCCAACGGGCACAGACCTGTAGGCGATGTTGAGCGCCAGGGGCTGCCTGGTGGGGTTGTTCATCACGGCGTAGTGCCCCTGAGGAGGCAGAAAAAAAAGAAAGGAGGGAGTTAGGATGAGATTCTTGCTCTTCCCTCTCGACTCTGGCTGCAAAGAGCTGCTTTACAGCGGAGCCCAGGGACGTGCAGGCAGCTACAAGGTGTCTACGGCACGTCTGGCACCACCAGCGTTCCCCCTCGTGCGCTCACCAGCAGGTCCAGAATCCAGGGGGTGAGAGGCTCAAAACCAGGGAATCGAATCCTCAAGTCCTTCAGCAGCCGGATTAAAACCTTCACCCTGGAGAAAACGGAAGGAGGAAGGTCCCAAATGTGTCAGGCACCTTCCTGTCACAGGAGCATCCTGGTCTGTGTCAGGAAGAGCGTGGCCAGTAGGACTGGGGCAGTGATGGTCCCACTGGACTGGGCACTGGGGAGGCCCCACCTCGAAGGTTGGGGCCAGTTTTGGGCCCCTCACGACAAAAAAAAAGCCATTGAGGGGCTGGAGTGTGTCCAGAGAAGGGCAACGGAGCTGGAGAGGGGTCTGGAGACCAAGGAGAAGGGTCTGGAGACCAAGGAGAAGGGTCTGGAGAACTTCTGAGGAGCTGGGGATGTTCAGCCTGGAGAAAAGGAGGCTGAGGGGAGACCTTCTCGCTCTCTCCAACCCCCTGAAAGGAGGGTGTTGTCAGGGGGGTCGGTCTCTTCTCCCAATGGGACAAGAGGAAACGGCCTCAAGTTGCTCCAGGGAAGGTTTAGGATG